AGAATTATTTGCAATTAAAGTTAACAATAAAACAAAAGGTATCTTGGATAAGTTAAGGGAAACAAAGCCCAGCTCAACACATAGAGCAGAGGCATAGAGATCTATGACTGCAAGTGACTTTTAGCAACTAACTTAGGAGTGTAGGTGTATTACTAAGATAATGTTTATATATATATATTGCATGATAAATTATATAATAAGAAATAGTCATTCTTTTCTCAAATCTTTGTTTTTTCATTTTAGAATTTAAATTTAAAATATTTAATACAAAAATTCAAACATTAACCACTAACTAAGATGTCCCCTATAAGACAATACAAAGACAATGGTAATGGAGTAATAATTATATAAAGAAACACCATTACCAGAGCAAATAACCCATTCTTAGGTAGTATGATGAGACTTGTGTTGTGCCTTAACAAATAGCAACAACTTGCATTCGCTTGGGAGATCATGGTGAGACAGGCTGCAAGCATTGCAAACATTAACCCACATTGATTCGAGATGCCAGTTTCTAAAGATACAGCGCATATAAAATCTCTTGTAGAATTAGCAGCCCTTGCCTGTGAATTATATGGGATTCAGAAAAAGTCAGTGAACTCGTTACCCCATGTGGTGTTAGGGTTTTTTAGTTTTTTACTTTAAAACCTCAAATTCAAACTTGAAATATCTTTCACTAAAATAATAATTAATTTTTTTAATTTTGTTTAAAGATAAAGTTGCTATGACCTCTAATTAAGTCTTTTTGGTTTTTTGAAGATCACATTCCTTCTCTTTAACAACTCGTCATTTTTCTCATCTTTCCAATGTATAACAAAAAATTACAAGCTTTTTAATCAACTTGAAGGGAAGGAAAATTACAATATTTTATTTAAAATGTCAAAAAAAGGAAAAGAAAAGAAAAAAAGATCAACGTCTATGGCTACGCTTAACCCTAGCTAGCATTAGTTCCTCTATTAGAGGTGCTCGTTTCTGTAGAATTAGAATCCCTAATTTTGTGCCTTTGTTGTACTTGAGTGTACACCCTCCCTCGGAAAATCCGAAGCGCAGCATAGAATTGCTGGAACTCTTCACGGCTCATCTCATCCATCAGTTTAGTCCACCAGCCAATCCCTTCTGCAGCCATCTGATCATTATTTAGGCTCCCACTCTCTTGCTCCCCCATTAGTAGGCAGAGCAGCTCACCATCATTCTTATTGGTGAGCTCCAGTAGAGGGTTGTTCTTGGGCAGGTGCCCATCTAGGTTTAAAACGGCATTTTCCGAGGATTCTAAAATAGTTATACCACTTTCTACACCACATGTTGTCACGAGTTCATCTGAATTTTTGTGGAACTCACATCCATATTGTGAGGATGTCTCCTTGTCCTCTGTTTTCTTCATCGTACGTTGATCGTCACTTTTCTTTCCCTCCATTATTGTTCTTAATTTTTTTGATCGTTATTGATTTACTGCATCAAAGTTTAGAGTTTGGACTCCGTATTTTTACTTGAAAGAAGCAAAGGGGCTTGCATTTTCTTGAAAGAGAACGTTCTTAAAATAAAAGGCAAATTTCAATATGTAATTTCCATATTCAATGAAATTTTTTGTCAAAAACAGAATATTCTGTGGATTGAGTTGTAGTGGGGAGAGAGGATGCATTTCTCTGGAATTTTTTTTTTGAACAGTAAAAATTAATATTTATTAATACCGAGAGTACAAGGGCTACTCCAAACCCATACATCATACTTGATAGGTACCAGATTAAATGTTTTGGACGCCTGCCATATAGTGTCGACATCCAAAATATGTGTCAACACCACGTTCGCGTCAGAGTTTTGGATGCTGACCATCTGGTGTCGACACCAACAGACCGTGGCGACACTATACCCGTGTCGAGCTTCTGACCACTATTGCAATTTCATTCATAAATCACTGTTCAGATCCACAAAACCTTCCCATTTGTCATCCCATCTTACATTTGACCAAAATCACTAGCTAAATCAGTCTTGGCCCCGCAATTATTTGATTGGTGCCCTTCTTTTGCTACAGCACTCTCTCAAGCATGCAACAGGATTCATAATTCAGCTAACAAGATTAAAAGCATACCTGTCATTTTTTGATTTAACCCAAAAAAAGGATCTCATCTGGATGAGCTCAAATAGCTTTCCCGCATCAATCTTTTTTCCTTGAAATAGCTTTTGATTTCTAGCCAGCCACACTGTCCATACCAAGGAGTTCCAAATACAATCCCATCCGTCTCTTAACCTTGCCTCTTTCAACTCTCTTTCAAAGTTCTGGAAAGTGTTCTAGAAATCCTCTTGTAGTGTGATTTTAATCCCCCACCACTTTGCACAAGCCATCCATAACCATCGAGCCATCTTGCATTTTAAAAACATGTGCGTTGAGTCTTCCTCTTCTTCATTGCATATACCGCATCTGCTTTCTCCCATGTCTTTAATGACCCCTCTTCTCAGTAGATTCATTTTTGTTGGAATTCTATCCTGTAATAGTTGCCAATTAAACGCTGATATTTTGCTTGGAAGGATGGGATTCCAGACTCTTGTGAATGTTGTGCTTCTGTTTGCTCCACTCTCTTCTTTTGTTAAAAGTGAATATGCTGATTTTGTTGTGTATTGGCCATTTTTGTCGTGAATCCATTCCCATCTATCCGTGCTTCCTTGTGAGGTTTTCACGTCTCTTATCTTGCTTTGAAGTTCCATGGCCTCCTCCGCTTCCCACTCAAACAAATTTCTCCTCCACTGCAGATTCCATTCCCATGCTCCATTGCTTTTGCTTCCCATTCCACTGCATGTATTATTTTTTCCTATTGATAATAGATATAATCTTG